TTGTGTTTCTGTTTTTGTATAAAGCGAGAAAAACACATTTCTTCTTGTTATACACTTATAATTATGCAATATACATACATTTTAATTCGATTCAACTGTATGCAAAACAAATTATGCAATTGCAGCGAAATAGGCCAGCGAATTATACAATTTAGGCGAGCGAATTATACAATTTAGGCCAGAGAATTATACAATTGTATATGTGTAGCGAATTATACAGTTTTATGTTTGCTATGGAGCGCAATTATGCAAACTTTGTTATATCATACAAATATAAATTTTTTGTTTGTTATATGTGAAAGTTGCCCAATTTATACCTAATGATTTACTATAACTTATGATATATTATGAAATAAAAATATAAATTAACATCCCATAAAAAAATTATTTATTACGAAACACATAAATTAAAGAACAATATAAAATAGGGGATAAAAGTGCAAAATAGAAAAGGAAGAACTTACCAAAATATACTACTTAAGACTTTTATTAACAAAATAGAAATAAATTTATATATAATTACAAACTAAGTTTTTAAATTACATACATAATAAAATATTTAGTTTTTATATTTCATTTTATTTTATTTTATTTTATTTTATTTTACAGATTTTCTCTCTCTTTTAGTATTTCTTGCATTTTATTTGATTTTCATATTCTCTCTCCTAATATAGTTTTAAATACACACGTTTTTACTTTTATATTTTTCTTTTTTTTATGGAAGTTTGAGAATTTTTTTAATTATTTTTTTCTATTTTGATGAAGTTACTTTTTACGAAGATACACGTTTTTAGTTTTATATATTTTCCCTTTTTTAGGCTTAGTGGAATTAGACATTTTTGATCTGTCAATTTATATTAACTCTTAGATTAAATAATACTCTCTCAAAGTCTCAATCGTAATTTAGTTATCGTAGCTTGAATTGATTTTTTTATTTTAAAAATTGTTATTTTAAATTAAAAATGTGTATAATATATTAATATATCCTTTGAATTTTATGATTTTGAATACGTCTCGACTTTTCAATTTAGATATGTTAGATTCGTCTTTATTTTTCGTTATGTTTATCTCTTCTTACATTTTAATTAGTTATATATTTTACATTTAATTAGTTACCTTTAAAGTAGAGATAATTGTCAAAAACATACTTAAATTATCTTCTTTTTTTTTAGTTTTCTACCCAAAATACTAGAAGTGTGGATTTTATACATAAATTATCACTTAATAATTTAGAAACGCAATCTCTCTTTTATTACACTTTTTTAATGGTGTGTGTATACACTCTCTTTTATCTAAAAGAAAATTGTTACGTTCCAATCCACACGGACAAAATATTTTACCTTGACAAAAATTAAACAAATAATCTGTATTAGTTAAAATTAAAAATTAAAAAACTACATCCCAAAATAATACATTTTTAATAAATGTGCACTCCCATGACGTTATGTATTTTCAATGGTGGAGATCTACCACTCACGAAATACTTGATTTCCAATTGATAAATCATTATATCCAATCTAGTTATATGAAATCTAAACTTACTAAAATATGTTTCAAATTTTATATTTATGAAAATCTAGTTATATTACCATAGGTGTCAAAATTGTGTGTATTTTTACCATTAAATATATCAATTAGTTTATAAAACTTGGTATAGTTATGGTAATTTTTAAATTTAATAAAATCCACGTAAGTACCTGTTAAAATTTCAAAACATTCAGTAAGGTAAATAGTTTGAACCAAAAAATACATCAACACATAAATCATGTCTTGTTATCCGTTCCTAACAACAAATATACCATCATATGTCTCAGATAACATTTTAATACAATTTTCAAATTGATATTTTTTTTAGAATAATAACAATTTGAAACGTTTCCGTTCTTATTTAACTCACCAAACTTAACAATCATAATATGAACAACAATCTATCATACTTTTGAACCAAATTATATGAAACATAAACTTACTAGATGTTGGAATTTATTATATTCACCAACTAAATTAAGATCATCTCAACATACACTAAGATATGTTCATATTTTATTCATGAAGATCTAATCATATAGACTATTAAAATACATCTAGATATTAATTTGGTGTTAGTTCGTACCAACAAATACATCATCATATGTACTAGAAAATATTTCAAATCAATTGTTCAAAATGATATTTTATTTCGATACCAACAAATTTCATATGAACCGTTTTGTTGACTATTTTACACATAAACTTAATAAATAGAGAGTTTTGATTTTAGTAAAAAAAACTGATAATGAAAGATAATATATATGAAATTTGAATAATCATGGAAGGTAAATTAATTGGAGTAAATTATGGGAAAAGTGATAAGCGTGGCTGAGTTGGAAATTATTATTATTATTATTATTATTATTATTATTATTATTATTATTATTATTATTAGTTAAATTCTTCTTTTAGAAAAAAAATATTGCCATGTAAAGGAAAAAATAAGGCAACTTTCACATATAGCAAACAAAAAATTCATATTTGTATGCTATAGCAAACTTTGCATAATTACGCTCCATAGCAAACATAAAACTGTATAATTTGCTATACATATACATAATTATAAGTGTATAGCAAGAAGATATATGTTTTTCTCGCTTTATATAAAAACAGAAACACAATATATACACTCTTGTTGTATAAAGCTAGAGAAAATTGTATTTCACTGCAATTGTATAATTCGCATTTGTATAATTCGTTGGTCTTTTACTCTGCAATATTTGAAGTAAAATGTTTGTACATTGTATAATTAAGTGTATAACACGAAGATATACATTTTTGCATGTGTATATACAATTTTCTCTCGCTTTATACAAAACAGAAATAGAATTATACACTTCTGTGTATAAAGCGAGAGAGGCGAGCGAGAATGAAGAGTGACGAGCGAGATTTTTGGGAGAGAGACGCTGACAAATTTTAGCTAATGTTTGCTATAGATCACAATTAAATCAAACCCTAACTATTCCATTTAATTTAGATTATTAGTTTGCTATTATATACAATTTTTTCAAAAAAATACTATTAATTTGATGTAAATATAATTCTTAAGTTGTATAGTTAAAAAATCGGCCTAATGAAAAATATTTATCGGCCCATATCACTCTTTAAGCCTATCACACAATATTCACACATTATTGGACTTATATGTAACATGGATCCAACACGCTACCTATCTCTTAGGCTCGAAAATTCCGACAAGGTGAAAAGTCAGATAACGTAAAATATTCTATCAAAATAATAAATGTGTTATTTCATTTTATCGTTTTGTTCTTGTTTTTTTTAAAGAATAAATAAAATTATTCTTTTCTCAGAAGCACAATATCCTTCAAAGTGAAACTCCTTTGTGCGAATTTCAATTAATTTAACCTCAAAGTAAATATCGAACATAAAAATAAAGAAAAAAAAAGACTTTTATTAGTTTGAGTGCATCTATAAACTCAAGAGAGGTGAATTGAGTCTTAATCATATTTTTAATCTAACTTCCTTTGAAATAATATGTTATTATAGGAGTTTTTGGTTTAGACATTTAATAATAACTATAAAGAGCGAATAAAATTTAAAAATATATACTGCCTTCATTTTAAAAAGAATGATCTGATTTGATTTGATACGGAATTTAAGAAAATAAAAATATTTAAATCTTTGGTACAAAATTAAAATTATGTCAAATGTAAAGAGTTCCTCTTTAATCATGTGGCTTTAAACATGACACGTGAAAAACTGAAATTATTGATTAAAAAAATAAAATTTTCTTTCTGAAACGAAGGAAGTATTATTTACGTGAAAAATCACCTAATTCAAAAAATGTAAAAATCCTGATCTATCCCAACAAAATTTAACTATAAAGTCTTCCTAAAACAACTTGATGTGAGCTCCTCGTTTTATAATTTAAACTATTAGAAACTAATTACGTAGATATTAATGTACTTAATTATATCTCTACATGATATAAATTGAATTAATGAAGTTAAAACACATTCAAGCTGATGTGTATTCAGTGCCAGCTCCTTTCTATTATTTTTTAGGTCACTGATTTAAAGTTCTATAAAATAAAAAATCATGTCTAATTTTTTCATGAAAAAGAATTAATTATTCATAATAAAAAGTATGAATATATATATTTTTTGCTAATACTCATATATTTTAATTATTTTTTTTAAAATTCCTTATGCACTCTATTTCTTCAAACTTTTGATAATTAGAGTAATATTCTGTCAAATATATGAATCAATAGCTGAAAAATGTTGCTTAAAAAATAATTTCTTAAAAAAGTAATTGAAAAAATTATTTATATAAAAGATATTAACTAATAATTTACATTTAAAAATTTTGAAAAAAAATAAATACAAAAATATTTAGATGTCTAATTAAAATTTCACTTTAGATCTCGAATTGTGTTAAACAGCCACGGTGTGTATTATATATTTATTTATATTATTTATCATGCAACTTGCATAATGTCAAACGAGTCATTTTTTAGTTTTAGAGTATGTAAAAATTAATAATTAAACTAATCAATAACCAGACAACGTTATTAATGTAAGATTATTACTACTATTGTTATAATAGTACTCTAATTTTTGTAAATAATTTCAAGGATATTACGGTAATTTTAGCAAAAAATGTGATCATCAACACTTTGTAACCAAACATATCAACTATCGTTCTGTTCCTTCCGTCCGATATTATTTGTCATGATTTCTATTTTTAGAGTTAAATTACATAAACTTTGACTAATATTTTAAAATATTTTTTCATCATATTAACATGCAAAAAATTATAATTTATAGTACTTTTCATATAGTTTTAGAATATCTAATTTTCTGTTTAAAATATCGAATTAATGTGATCTAATTTAACTTTAAAAATTAATCAAATTGACTTTCAAAAATCGGAATATGACAAACAATACCAGACGGAAGAAGTACTTATTATCATTTCAATACATTCATTCGTACGTACACATAACTGTTTATCTATAAAATTAATTTTAACACCTAAAAGTACATACCAAAAACTACCTAGTAAGATAACACTAATTTAAAAGTTATGTTGCTCAAACTCTTCAAAAATGTCGACTGGTGTTGTTGGATCCTTTAAAAATAGTGTATTTTTGAAAGATCCTACACGAGTGCGATAATATTTTTTGAAAGTCTGAACAACGTAGTTTATGAGTGTTTTTCTGCAAATTTATAAACCAAAGCAAGTGCATTACTAGTCACTTGTGAAGCAATAAAAACCCTAACCCTAATAGAATCCTTAATTTTTCCATCCATAGAAGGATTGTTAATCATATCAAGACAAGTATTTTGATCAGTAAGTGCAGCACTAATCCAAGTTTGAACATTACTAACATGCCAAGTAAATTCATCTCTTCTTGATGCTAATTTACCACTTTGCCCTAGCTCGGGGATCGATCGAGTTAGTTGATAAACACAATCATTCATGTTGAATGAACAATCTTTAGAAGCTTGTAATTCTCTTGGCTTTAAGCCCTTCATTCTTGTGATCTTTGAAATGAATGTTGAAGCAATTTTGGCCTTTGACAAACTCACTGTCAATGCTGCATGAGCTAGTTCTTGCTCGTTTAGTTGAATGGTGTTTGCATAGGTAGAGAGAGATTGAACACATATGGTAGGGTATAACGTTGTTTTGCATGATGTTACGATGAAATTTGTAGCATTTTGAGTTTGGGACGTAACAGACTCAGTAATGATTGCGAAAATACAATGGAAGGACAAGAAAATTAGTAAGAAGTGAAGAGTAAGATTGGCCATATATCCTATTTTGGAAATTTTGAAATGAACTTTCTCAAGTGGGAGTGTGTGCAAGATCCTATTCCAAGGGGAAGCTTTATATAGAGTTGAAAAGAGTTATTAACTAGGGTTTTACTAAGACATTTGACTTTTTTTTTTTTGTAATGAATTAATAAATATATATTAATTAGTGCCTAGTGGTGAAGCCATAATCAAGGAATTAAGAGGATTCAAAATCTCACCTTTATTGAAAAATCATATCGTGTAATAATAGGGAAGCAAACTCGAAATCTCTGATTAAATTCGAACTTATTTATTGTTGGCACTCATTTCTCAATATATTGCTTTCAATAAGATTTTTTTTATTATATCACGAACTCAAATACAAAATCTTTAATTAAGAATGAAAGGATCTTGAACCATCCTACTATAATCTATATTTATCATTATCACGTAAGTTTAACATTTAAATTATTATTTCTTTTCGGTTTTCGTATTTTTATAAATTATTCCAGCCAGAATATATGACATTTTGCTATTCAATATGCAGATGTGAAGGAACCTTCACAATTTTAATTTATTTTTTTTGGCCTAAACTTATCAACAACTAAGATTTAGATAGACATGTAACAAAGTTTAATGTAACGTAATAAATATCTTTGTCTACTTTAAGAGATGTGAGAACCGACCCTACTAATATATTGTTTAAGCAAAATGCTATTAAATTGAGTAGAATTTCGAGGTGAAAAATAATAGAGTAGAATTTTGAGAGAAAAATAAAAAATTAAAATGACTGTGAAAGACTTTTTTACGTATTATGAGAGAAAATTTCAAGATCGAACCTCGAAAATATAGTCCCTTTTAAGAAGCACTAACCTAGTTGGCACAACTCTTGTCCAATCGGCATTTATTAATATTCCTTTGCTGAAAAATCACATCGTATAAAATTGACAATTCGTATTTATTCTCTTATTTTTATGCTATATGCTAAATTTTCTTAGCTTGTGTTTTTTTTAAGTTTATTTCTTTTATCTTTTTATTTTTCTCGAAAGAAAATAAACCTCGTTTTATTATTCACTAACACTACCTCACTATAGTAAGAGTTATAATTATGTGAATTTATTTTCGCAATCTTGAATTTTTAAAATAAAATTCAAAAAAAGATATAAAAGTTGAGTTTTTATTGAATTTTTTTCCTTTCTTCTCACTTTGAAAAAAATAATAATTAAAACTAGACTCATATTAATCAAACTAACCAATCGAATATTATTAAACAAATAATAAAGCAACAAGTGTTACCAGCTAGTGAAATGCCAGTCAACTCTCTGAAGTATGCAAATTAATTAAATAATTAAACTAATCTCATAAAATATTACACCTGCAAAAAAAAATAAAAAATTAAACACTAAGATTGTCAAAATCTTGAAGGAAAACTTTGACCAATCTCATAAATTGAAATCACTGTGAAATTTAAGTGAAATATATTTAAAATATTCATAATTAAAGTTTTACTCCCTTAAATATCGACAAAAATTTCATATGCAATGTGCACTTTCATTTCAACAATATGTATTAAGTTGATTTTATACCATATATAAAGATAATATAATTCTAAAAATAGTCTGAATCTAATATATATTTTTATATAAGAGGAACAAAAAAATTCAAATAAATTAAATAGTTTTAATTATATATTACGAGTTCGAAATTAAAATTAAAATCTACCAATAAATAATGGACGAAAAATTGTTAGTGTCCCTATATTAAATTAAGGTCTGTGCCTCGTTTTTTAAAATACAACTGTAACACTAATCTTAAGAAACAACTAATTATTAATAATCATTTCAATTATTATAAACTATATTGTCATGAATAAATTTTTTGTTAGAAAATAGTTTATTCGTTATAATTTAACTTAATTTTATTAAAAAAGATAATTAATCATATAGATATTTTATCAAATTATTTCTTATTAGATGATATCTTAAAAATAAATATCTAATACTTAGAATAAAACATGGAAAAAAATATTATCTCTTGGTACGTCAAACATGATACTAAAAATAAAAATCTATTTTAAAAATAAGTGATAAGTGAGTGAACGGACAGAGAATATATATATATATATATATATATATAACTTTCGAAATTTGTGTAAAAATATTTTAATTGAAATAATTAATAACTTAAAATATTTAAAAGACAAATGAAAGAATTATACTTAAAAAGAATTTTTAGACTTTGTGGATTTAAAATGAGCTACAAACAAAAGAAAGACGAAGAAAGTGAATATTCACAAAGGGGCGAAACTTATTCACATAATCGCGTGTTTACGCCAAGTCAATATATATACATGATCATTTGAAATTTATAGTTTATTTTACTTTATTAAATTACATAATAATGGAAATTATATCAAACTTCTCTCACATTTCACTCACGTATCTTGTATATATTTAATTTGATTTGCATGTATTTGAAATATATTGACAAATTTCGCTGGCCTTAATCCCGTTCTCCCTCACCTCTCTTCCTATTTGAAAGTATTTGATAGTAAAAGACATATATTTAGGTTTATCTAATTTAAAATCTAGTACGAAATTATTTATTAATGAGATAATATATAATTATTTTAAATTATAAGATAAGAATTAGTAAATATGACAAAAATATTTGTATAATTAGATTCAAACCTCTATGATCACATTAATAATAATTTTGTTTTCTATCAGTAATTTAAAATAATAATAATAAAATAGTACCATGTGTTGGGATCGAATCCACACACACGCTTGATGAATTAAGAACACAAGAACTTTCAAGAGAAAGAGAAAAGAGATCTAGAGAGAGAAACAAAGAAACCAATACTTCATGATAACGCCCCGTGAGTAAACTTCCACGGCGATGGGGTATATATATTAATAAATCAGAGTATTTTTTGTTACAGAGAATAAATAGTACAGCCTAAAATTTAAGTGAGGCCGCTGCCCTGAACCCCTCCTTCGGATGGGGGGCTCCCGCCCCCATAACCCCCTGGCAACCTCACCACGGAGGTTAAACCACGTAAATATTAATATATAATAGCATATCAAATATTAATCAGGCTCCACAGCCTAGCATCATGATCTAGATATAATTACTACATGTTTCTTGGCCGGTCTAACTAGTCAATTATGAGAAGCTTCGAAACGTTTTAAAGTATCAATTAACTTGGTCAAACAAACGAATATCAATTCAATATTAAGTATTTTAATTTATATATATGTTTAAGTTTTGATAGATAATATTGTCCTCTGTATATACATATTGATTGTACATAAATATAAATAATCCATAATTAAATTATAAATAAAGGTACGTATAAATTAATTAGAATATTATTTACTCTTAGTTGCTTGACTATAATAACTTCTAATTGGTGTTTATGAGTTATTACATATTTTACATGACTAAACTTATATATATATATATATATATATATATATATATATGTATATGTCTTTTTTTTTTAAATGGCTAGTTAAATTAATTTCTGGTTTATATTTAATTTAGTAAAATGAAAGTAAAAGCAATAAGTTGAAGGTGTGAAGGCTGGAAATAATTGCAAAGTCTTCAAAGAAAACATATCATACCATTCACACCATAAAATTGTAATTGGCGAATATGATAATTATTCTTTTCATTATTAATTGAAAATTTTCAAATTTAATTTTTTGATAATTTTTGTTAAAGAGTGATTAAATATATTATTTATAACTTTAAATTTTTAATATGAATTTAAATTAATTAGACTTTAAAATAATATTAAACATCAAATCAAAAATCAGAAAGAATATAATATGATGTAGTTGACCAAGTCAAGTACCTAATTGAGTCCTTCTTTTAAGTACTCTTCACACCTACATTTCAAACTATCTTTGCATATTGAATATAAATTTAGGTTAATCAAATAAATAAATATACAAATAAAAAAATTTAAATTTGAAGAATTAAATATACAAATTAATTAATAGGATTTTGATATTTTCTTTGTATATATAAAAAATAATTTTAACTATATATAAATAATAATAATTTTTATAATTTTTTAAAATAAATTCCGATAGAAAACTGACTCTATGTATATTTAAATCATCGTGACTCTTCCATCCGATGACTTGGCCAACGTGCCTTTGGGGGTCAAATTTGTGTCTATATCAAAACTAATTTTTTTTTTTGTTTCTTTTTCTATTTTAAGGTTTTGTTTAATCACTAAATAAAATAATTTCTTTTTTCTTCTATAGTGAAAGTACGCAGAAATATGGTGATAATATATATATAATTTATAACAAACCAACAAAATGATTATTTTATCTTTTTTCTTACGAAAAGTCTATTTTGAGGTTTTTTCAATAAATAAACTTGATCTCATCCGTGTGCTTGCTATATATCGACCAAATGCATGTAGAAGACTCAAGACTTTGCATTAAAGTTGAATTGGTATTTCATACGACACTCGCTTTGAAACTCGATTAACTATTATTTATATGATGCTAAAACTTATTAAATGAAAAGATTTTTGATTATTTTATCAAGAAGTATTTTTACTGTTAAATATTATTTATTTTTCAATATTTAGATTTCTTATTTAATATAAGTGATTTGATAAAATTATCTTATTATTGGTTGTTTGTTAATTCTTTTGTCAAAGTCAAAAATCAACAACTATTACTGAACAGAATAAATATGAACAAAACAGACAAGTGTCCTTCTGTCCTAAAATAAGTATTACCTTAGACGAAATCATATTGATTAAGAAATCAATGAATATAGTTTACTAAATTATCCTTATTAAAAAAAATGTCTCTTAAAAATCGAACATTATTAGAAACATAAAATATAATGTTATAGCTCGAAAATCATACTTCTGCTGTCCATTTTTAATTATCATGTTGCACTTTTTGAAAATTAATTTGACTAATTTTAAAGTTATGTTTAATTGCATAAATTTAATATTTTAAATAGAAAATAAAAAACTATACGAAAAATACTATAAATTCCAATCTTTTACATATCGATATAATAAAAAAATACATCGTAAAATGAAAATTATAACAATTACAAATAGACAAAGATAATATACTATTTTTCATTTTAAATTCCTAAAATTACACTCATTGATATGAGACTTTTTTTCCCTAAGAATTTTTTTATTTTTTTAAAGAACATACATATGAAAACTTAGACAAACATTTTGACTAGTAAAAGAAACCCAAACCAACCACTCCTATAAGTATACCAATAAACATTTTTCCAACACAACAACAACAAGAAGAAAACAACCAAATTAAGTTACTAGTGAAAAAAAAAAAGACAAGGATGTTTTCTTCAAAAATGTTTGTTTTAATTTCGATGGCGTTGACGGCGGCGATGATATTTGCGTCAGATGCGCAAACAACGCCGCCGTCGTGCGCCTCAAAATTAGTGCCATGTGCACCTTACCTTAACTCATCGAGCCCCCCAGCGGAGTGTTG